ATCAGACTTCCAGCAGAGACAGTGAGTCAGTCAACAGTAAGTGGATTTAAACGTGCTTGGGATATAGATTCATACTCAAACAAAAAAAAAGTTAAATAAAAGCAACAACAACAAAAATCAAGAAATGAGCAATAGCAATGGACCACTTTGTTTTTTTCTGCCGTCACTCTTCTATGATTCTATGTTTTCTCCTTGGTATGGAGTTAACTCAAGCAAGACTGCCTGTGTTTCTACTTGAAATAGAATTGGTAGCACTTCCTGATAAACAGAAAGTCATGTCAGACTGATTAGAAGAACCTAACTCTAAGTACCTTGTCAAAGCAAATTACTTTTTAATACAATTTCTATCTCTTAGAAACATACTTTTTCACTCTTTGTTTCTAGAATTTAGAAGGCCTACATACCATTTCCCTGCTGAATAAAATGACCTTACTGACCATTATATTAGAATTTCAAGCAAAACTTTTTTTTAGTATTTGGATAGAGCGAGGAAGCCTTATAACCACGGTCAGCATTTTTATTTTCAAAAAACATCTGTGTCCCATTGGAGAGATTTCCCTTTACTTCCTGTCTGATAGCCACAAGAGGAAGTGAGAGGCAATCCCTCCAAAGTGAGGGAAATTCCTGGTGGTTAGCAGTGTGACCAGAACTAGTGTCCCCAATGGGCGATTTCAACAACATGACAACCCAAAATGTGGGATTTCCTTTCACTTTTACTTTCAGTAATAACATTGATTATCTTGTTACAATGGCGCTGGGAAGTGGGTGGAATATATTAGGCAACAATTGGACAGTTTGCCCCTGACTTTGATGTGTTGGAAGCATAAAAAATAGGCAAAAAAGGGGATTTCAGTAACTTTGACAAGGGCCAAATTGTACTGGCTAGACAACTGATTTTAGAGCAACTCCAAAACTGTAGCTGTTATGTAATGTTCCTGGTTGCAGTAGTCAGAACCTACCAAAAGTGGTCTGAGGAATGAAAACTGGTGAACCAGCGACAGGGTCATTGGCAGGCAAGGCTCATTGATACACAAGAGAAGCAAAGGCTTACCCATGTAGTCTGATCCAATAGAAGAGCTACTGTAGCTCAAATTGCTCAAGAAGTTATTGCTGGTTCCAATAGAAAGGTGTCTGATCACAGAATGCATTGTAGTTTGTTGCATATGGGACTGTATGGATGTGGATGGCCGGGTGCATGTGTGTCGTTTATCTGGGGAAGAGATGGCACCAGGAAGAAGGCAAGTCAGTGGAGGCAGTGTGATGCTTTGGGAAAAGTTCTGCTGGGAACCTTTGGGTCCTGCCATTCATGTGGATGTTACTTTGACATGTACCATCTACCCCCCCTAAATGGACACAGCATTCCCTGATGACAATTGCCTCTTTCAGCAGGATAATACGCCCTGCTGCACTGCAAAAATGATTCAAGAATGGTTTGAGAAACACAACAAAAGGTTTGAGGAATTGCCTTGGCCTCCAGATTTCAACCTAATCGAGCATCAGTGGGATGTGCTGAAAAAAGAAGTCTGATCCATGGAGGCCGCACTTCGCAACTTACAGGACTTAAAAAATCTGCTACCAATGGTTTGTTGCCAGAAACAAGAGAGTACCTTCAGAGGTCTAGTGCATTCCATACTATGATGGGTCAGGGCTGTTTTGGTGGGAAAAGGGGAACCTACTAGTGGTCATAATGTTATGGCTAATCGGTGTATATATAAAAACTAAATTCTGATCCTGATGGATATAAAAGTAACGTCCTCTTACATTTTGCCAGAGTATTTCTGACTACATATATAATTTGTATCTTTGAATAACTACAGGCACATAATGTAACTTGCAGTATTGCTGAATTATTATGCATCAAACCAGACATATTGCTATAGTTTGGACTCGTGAAAACTTCAGCAGTGCAGATTCAAGCGAGAAAGCTAAATATATTTGCATATGTTGCATATGTTCACACATCATTAACTCGAGAAAAATTAGAGGGAATCACATCTAATGTTTAATCTTCTTTAAGCTTTATTTCTTGCACACAACATCCAGACAGCTATCAGTTGTCTTCCCTCTTCTAGACAATACCCCAGATTTCCAGACATAAAGCTTGCCAGCCAATAAAAACAACTGGCAGTTCTGCCGCTTTGTGTGAAAATCAAATAACAAAATGTAATACGTATACATAATTCATAATCTTCATGGTGCAGCATTTAAAAAAGAACAAGATTTACTCTGCCGGAAAACAGCATATTTACTTAAAACAGCAACTGAAAAGTGATAAAGTGTTCATTAAATGGAGAAAAAAAACACAGAAAAAGTTTCCTGTACACCAAATGTTTTATGGCATTATTTCAAATGTATTACGCATCGTAGAGTGAACTGAAGTGGAGAGCTATCATTCAGACAGATCAGCTACGTGACACCAAGAGATTTCTTACTCAATGGTTTCTCAAACCATCTGTTGACTTCTCTTGCTTCAAAATAGGTTGTCTCTTGATTCAGGTATAAGTTATCCTTTTATAAAAGTTTCCATAATAATTTGAAAAGAGTTCTCTTCAACCATCATTATTGATATACAGAGGTTGATTTACTAAAGGCAAATAGGCTGTTCACTCTGCAAGGCAATTAGCAGGGGAGGTTTCTCCTTAGTGAATGAGGTGAAGCTCTGCTGATTTCCATCAGCCAATCATGTGCAAGCAAAAATACTGTTTTTTTCCCCCACAAGTAAGTTCTTATTGTTTAAGAATTAACAAAAGCAAGTACACAGACATTGGACAAATGCTTTTGAGCATCCATAAGAGGTCCAAAACAATACAATAAAGGAAATCGGGGCATGTGTGAAGGAGGGTATGTTGTTTAGGATGGCTTTGCATCCAACCATTAAACAGAACTGTGCGCACAATAATTACTGCAGGATACATTGCTGATCTCTGTACTGTGTGGCACACCGCTGACCTCTGCACTGTGCACAGCACTGTTGACCTCTGTACTGTGCATCACACTGCTGATCTCCGTACTCTTCATTACACCTCTGACCTCTGTCTCCCTGCCCCTCACTTGCTTGTCACTGGTGAGGCATCGCGACCAAACGGGTTCAGAAACGTCGCCATGTTGTGACATCACAGAGGCCAATAAAATATTGACTGAACTTGAGCTGGAGTGCGAGTGACTTCTTCATACTTATACTGTTAACAATCACACTCCTATCACTCTTAGGCAGGCCATACATGCTGGGATCAATAAGATCTCAGCATGTACAGAGCTGTTACTAAATGCTGTTTCTCAGAAGCATTTAATGACAACTCTTATTAGATGTGCGGGGCTTCTGATGGCCCTGAGTGACAGTTGATCCCAGTATACAGTATATGCTGGGATCAGTGACGTGCGGTACCTCTTGCTCGGGGTGAGGCATTCCGCCGCCAAAGCTCCGCCTCCTGCCAGCTGAAGCTCCACCCCCACCCAACCTGTCCCCCAAGCTAGTGTAAAGGAGGAAGGGAGGAGACAAGAAGGAGCCTCCCTGTCCCTCACTTGCTCCTCACCGCTGAGGCTCCGTGACAGGTTACACAGCGTGGAGGATTTCCCGGCTGTGCAACCTGTTAGATGCCGATCTGAAAGGAGAAAAAGCTGTCAGCTTCAGACATGAGAGCACCCACCTGAAATGATGGCAGATAGCACAGGAAGCAATAGCTTCTTTGCTATCTGCAGGTTTTTTTGTTGTTTTTTTTTAGTATTCTGACAGCTGCTGCCTTTAGAATAAAAAAAAAAACAAACACCATAGGAATGCATAGCTAGATTCCGATTGGCTATTTCAATTTGTAATATCCAAAAGCAAGCTGGCTATTGCACCCACCCTCTGCTGCTTTCAATCACTAGAAGAGGACCTGATGGAGAACTTCAGGTCCCCCTTTGCTTATTGACAGCAGCAGTGGGCGGGTGCAATAGCTAGTTTGCTATTGGCTATTGCAAAGTGAAATAGCCAATAGGAATCTAGCTATGCATTCCTATGGTGTTTTTTTATTTTATTTATTCTGACGGCAACTGACGGCCCCAATGTCAGAAAAGAAAAAAAAAAGAAAAAAACTGAGCAGAGTAAACCTTTCCGGGAGAAAGTGTTTCTCACCCGGGCGGCCGGGAGCCGCTATCTAACAGTGGGATACCCCCTCATGACATACAGAGTACTCCTTTATCAGCGAGGCGGTTATTCATTGAGCTGCCGAAGGGGGGCCGAGTAGTTGCACCATGGGCCTCTGGTTGTACTTACCCCCTGGGCCAAACGTTGCCAGTCAACCCCTGGCAGGGACTGATGTGAATGTGCATAGTGCCAAACGTTGCCAGTCAACCCCTGGCAGGGACTGATGTGAATGTGCATAGTGCACATTCACATCAGTCCCTGCCAGGGGTTGACTGGCAACGTTTGGCCCAGGGGGTAAGTACAACCAGAGGCCCATGGTGCAACAACTCAGGAATGTAAAGCACTGCGTAAAGTGTTGGTGCTAAATAAATACCTGTAATAATAAATAGTAATGATAAAAATGTGTAGCTCAGCATCATCATGAGGTGGCTCGCACACAAGCAATCATGAGGGGACCTTCTTTAGGATTGTAAGCACGCCATGCATGGTTCACTTGAGCAGCAAAAATTAATATAAAACGGCTGCAATATATCAGAGCGAAAACTTTTACAGATGATGGCAGGCAAATTATGATGTATGGTAAATTCTAATAAAAGAAACGTATCCTTGAGTTATATTTTTGTATAAAGGTGGACTGGTTAATTCCTCTCTTTACCCCCCTATAGATCTGGCTCTGATGGTGACAGGTCCTCTTTAATATGCACATCATCATCATCTACCATACCCCCGGACCACTCCGCACAGCTCCCCCAGGGCCGCAGCCGCCTACCCCTCCCACTCACGAGCTCACTGGTCACGCCCCAACACAAACCCCGCCCTCTCTGTCTTACCGTGCGCAGGTCGGACTCCTGATTGGCTGACGAGTAGACAAGTAGCAGCTGGAGGAGCGCGCCGTTCAGCAGATGTACAGTGCCGGGAAGTTGATCGTAGTCTGTCCGCATAGAGCGCCCTGCGAGCGGGCAGCGGACCCCGCGACTTTCCGCTTCCTCCCAACATGCTACTTCTGACCGGACCGCTCCTCCTGCTACTGCTGCCCGCCTGCCTGGCGCCCGTTCCCCGCACCGTCTACTCCAACCATTGGGCTGTGCGAGTGCCCGGGGGAACGGAGGTGGCGGCGCAGCTGGCTGACAAGTACGGCTACCTGAACCTCGGCAAGGTGGGCACACTGGAAGTTCCTTGTTCCTATCCCCCCCAGTCACAGTCCAGCAGATCGCATGTTACAGTATAGCGTTCTCCAACTCCGGGGCACTGCAAGGGGGGAGTGGGGTAGATTCGTGTGTGTCCTGGCATCGGCTGTGTGTATGGAGACCTACACCACACAGCACGGTGACCATAGAATGAGGCTGACATTGCAGTAGTGTAGTCACTATTCACCCTGGAGGCGACAGAACAACTCTGATAAATGTGATCTCAGGAGCTGACACTCTTCTCTCCTCCGACACATGTTTTCAAAAACTTCCTCCAATGTCTGTTCTTACAGTGATACTAGATCGGGTTTAGTGCTTGTCATGATGTGGGGGGAGAAAAGTTTGATCCTTACAGTATGGAGTGTTTTATCAGCTGAGATCATGGGGCATGTTCAGTTGCTGAATTTAATTGGTGGAGTGTGTATATTTATGTGTGTGTGTGTGTATTCATATAAATATATGTATATATTTATATAAATGTGTGTGTGTCCTTAACATTTGGCAATACAAACATTCAGTTGTATGTGGCTTTTGATTTGTATGTTTTCCTTTGCACATGGGTGATGGATCCGGTCATTTGTTCAGTTGCTTAATTTAATTGATGGTGTGTATGTAATATGTGTGTGTATTAAATGTGTGTGTGTATTTATATAAATATATGTATGATGTGTGTATATATAAATGTGTGTGTCCTTAACATTTGAGAATACAAACATTCACTCGTATGTGGCTTTTGGTTGTATGTTTTCCTTTGCTCATGGGTGATGGATCCGGTCATTTGTTCAGTTGCTGAATTTCAAGTTAGAGTTTTAAGTACGTCTACCTGAACCTTGGCAAGGTGGGCACACTGGAAGTTCCTTGCTCCTATTCCCCCAGTCACAGTCCAGCAGATTGCATGGTACAGCATAGCGTTCCCCAACTCAGGGGCACTTTATGCTGTGTGTATGTATGTATGTATATATATATGTGTGTGTGTAATATAAATAAATAAATATATAGATATATATAGATATATATAGATATATCCATATAATGGGTGTACGATATTGCATTTAAAGTAAAGCTGCATCATGGATTTACAAGTCGGCAGTGC